TGGACATCTAGGTTGTTTCCAAGTTTTGGCTATTGTAAATAGTGCTGCGATGAACATCAGCGTGCATATATCTGTTCTTGTTATGGCTCTCACTTCTTTAGGGTATATACCTAGTAATGGGATGGCTCACTTGCCATTTCTTAACCCTAATTTTATATATATTAAAGAAGTTTTCATAGAATGGTTTCTTTAGCCCTAAGAATAGCTGCTGAGAGAAGCTATGGGATGTTCTTGCTATAAGTACATTTGTTTTAAGCAGGGTAGGCTTATTGTTTTAGGATTTAATAGTCCTATATCTGGAGGTAGAAGACTAGACTCAATTCAGGATGACTGAGTCTTTAAATCAACATGAAGGGGAAAAAAATATCATTATAAACTCTGCTTAAGCTGTAATTAAAATAAAAAATATACTTTCTAGGATCTAAAATTGTATTACAGCACAGAGACACATGAGGGTGCTCTAACCAGCTGCTACAATGAATGAATTAAACTATTCAACTATTGGGGAAAAATCAAGGCCTGCTGTGAATGGCAGTGTTGCATGCTTATTGTAGTGCCAGCTAAACAGAATTCTTGGAATAGATGATCTCTTTTTTAATAAAATATATTGTTTTTTCTCCCCTTAGTTTAAAAAGGGTGAGATGTTCATATTGGACACTGGAAAATACAGAAAAGCACAAAGAAAAAAAATAAAAGTGAACTGCTGCTGCTGTCAGCCTGGGGGGCTGGGGTTTTCTTAAACCAGGCCGGTGAGCAGCTTAGCTCAGTTCTGCCTTCAAACACAAGCCCAGCCTGTTCTCATTTTGATTCCACAGACCTTCTGCTGCTACGAAGGGGGAGTAGAGACTGGGGGCCTAATGACCGCAAGAAGAGAATTAGAGACGCATGTTTATCTCAATACATTTACTCTCATTAAAGTTCATATTCACTGACATCATGCATCTTGAAAAAGTCTGCCCACCCACCATTAATTAAAGCCACATTTTAAAAAGTCAGTGTGTGCACTTTTATTCCAATCAAAAGTAGCCTCCTAAGTTCTACAGAGTAGGCAGGAGAATATCTGAGGCCTGACAGCTGTTCACCTCCACATGGCGAGGAATCATGTGATTTACATGAAAAAGTTCATGTTTATTCAGGGCCTCATATATAATAGCCAAGATCTATTGTCTTGAAGAGTTGAAACATTCAACATCTATTGACTTATTCAGCAAAATTAACATTTATTTTGATAGTCTACATTCTCTCTGAGACGTATGCATGACCCCGTAGGCCTTTATCTTTTCAAACAATCTGAGATCTAATCATTAAGCAGCACACTTCTATCAAAGACACCACACTTTATAACTTATACATGCCGTATCAATGTCAAGACAAAGGTCAATGTAAAATGTTTTTACCCAAACCATTGCACAAACAGTAATTACCAATAGTTGCAGGATTACACAACCATATTCTATGTTTTTGGCAGCAGTCACTCTGTGTCCATAAACTCATGAAAATAAGGAATGCTGATTTTTAAAGTTCAAGAAGGTACTATTTGTAAACAGTTCAGTCACACTCATCTTATTCCATGTGCTAAGCAAGGATTCTTCCCTTGTAGCCTCCTTTAAGTGAGATCTGTTCTATCCATGAGTCTATTTAAAGGGTGTTCATCCAAACAGATCTGCATTCTTTTTTATTCTCTTTTCTATTCAAGCTCTCCGTCCCCCAGAGATCTTTCCACTTTATGCTACTCTTTCTTCATATACTAATATCAACCACATTTTTATGTTGCATTGATAAAAGACAAATTACGGTTATCTCTTTCCACTGGCAATTAGATTTTGCCAGAATGGTCTCACTAAACATTTGATCAGCGAGCCAGTCTTGGCTCTCTACATAAGCATCAAGTGCAGTCCTCAGATTTCCTAGTTATCCTGGCCTTGCCACCATGGAAGTAGATGTAGCTAATGCATACATTTGTATGTTGGCACTGAAATGGTTTAGTCCTAGGCCAAAGCACCCTGGACTTGAAGTTGAAACCTGAGTTCAGTCCTGGTTTTTCCTCTGACTCATCATATGACCTTGAGCGCCCTGAGGACCATTGTTTTCTTATCTGACAGTGGGGCCTGGAGAGAATACTGACCATATACCCACAACCAGGAGGTTAGTCAGGATTAGAGTGTAATTGGCAGAGTATCCCTTTGATGCCTTGTCTTTCCCTGGTCCATTTACTCATTCAGCACCAGAAAACACAAAGTGGTGTTTTTAAGAGTGAGACCTGGGTCTGTTTCTAAAAGAGAGACCTGGAGCTAGAAGAAGCCAATATGCCATGTCTGCTGAACTGCCTTCATAAAAAGTTTGGGAAAAGATGTTCTAGTTCTTGGTATCCCTTAGATACAAGCATTCAAGGCCTCACTGCTATGTGGGAGGAAACATATCCTAACCCAGAGATTATATCTTCTGTCTTAATGATACACTACCCAGAGGGACCATAAACACTTGACTATCCACAATGCCAAAAGCAATGGGTGGATTCCATCATTGCTGTTGTGGGAAGGAAGGTGGAGCGTGGGTGGGGTTATTCCAACTCAGCTGGTAGTATTCTTTAGAACAAAGAACTCTAGGCTGGGGACAGTGGAAAGCTGTGACTACACAGCGCCTTATCAACGCTGGGAACGTTTAAGAAGACAAGGCCAAGCAGCCCACAATGCCCACCGCGGTTCCATACCTTCCTCCCGGCTCTGTTGTTGTGAAGATTCATCAGGGCTCTGGCATCCTTCCCTTTCCTCTCCTTGGCATCCACAAATGCGCGGGCAAATTTGATCCCATAGTCAATGTTATCACTGCAGCCACCCCAATCGAAAGTGCCCTTGCTGTCCTTGGCAGTGCCCTTCTTCTTTGGATCACAGGAACAGGATTTCAACTCCCCTTGGCTACAGGCCCTGGTGATGGCAAACACAACTCCAGCTGAGGAGATGGCGTAAACAAAGGCAGATTCCCGACTACCTGAAACAAAAATGCTTTTCTTAAAAGTTGTCTAGTATTGCTAGTTTCGGAAAACTTTCACATGACGGTTCGTTAATTCTTGATCTGCCACTGGCATGTGTCGTCACTAAACTAAAGGGTACTGGCATTCTTGAAGATTTCTCTAGAGCCAAGACTCTTTCTCTAATGTGAATCATCTAACTGATAAATTTTGTCGACTTAGATATCTGACTGACACCTACTCTTCAAATAAATAGAGACTATCCAAAAAAATGAAGCAGAAGACTATCCAGCCCAGCATCTGGCTAAACATTAGTTTTACCCACGTGCTGGTTGCTTTAACGCCATCCCGAAATGCCCTGGAAGAGAGGATCACCGCATCTGTAGGTCTGCATTTGTAAAATAAGATTTTTTTTTGTAAAAAAAAAAAAAGCAGCCAGTTGCCATTGAATTGATTCTGAGTCAACTCACAGTGAGCCTATAAATGTCAGGGTAGAACTGGGCTCCACAAGGTTTTCAAGGGCTGACCCTTCAGAAGCAGATCACCAGGCCTCTCCTGCAACGTGCTTCTGGGTCCTGAACTGCCACACTTCAGGATCGCGGCTGAGCCCACTGACATACTGCACCAACCAACAAAATAGTAGCCTACAACTCCATCACTTCTTAATATATTTTCGTATCCAGGATACTCTATCTTCCCTTGGAAAAACCCTCCCCAACCTCCAGGCATTTCTGAGGAAGCTCCTCTGCATCTAAATGTTCGAGACTGAAATACTGAATTCGGAGAAACCTAGGCATTGAGGTGGGAAGAGAACTCAGGCAGTGACCAGCCTCCCCCTCCCTGCACTAATGCTGGACAGCTTTGGCTTGGCATCAACTTTCACAAGTAATTGAGAGATTGTTGAAGGCAATATGCAATATCCTTGAGTTACATACTATGTCTGACTATTAAGGTGAATTTACTTTCTTCTGGAACACCTGCACTAATCACTAGTATTGGGTAAAAGACAGTGAAAAGCTTTTCTTTGGTTTTTCTGGAAGGAAACAAATTTACCGCCTATAATTAGACTTGGGCAAGAACCCTTTGGGGTGCTTTCTTAGAATTGTTCTTTATTAGAGTGCAGGCTACTTTCACTTACAGGATGAAAGGTACATATTTCAGAGCAATAACTACATTAAATTATTTTAATAATCTGTAGTAACTCATAACACGGTGTTGTGGTATAGTGACAGATATAAGGCTCTTTAGGGTCCGTGTGCACCTCGTTTTTCAAGTGGGGCTGTATTTCATTGTTATTAGTATGCTTTTTTATTAATGGTTGCTGCAGCAAATATATTAACAACCAAAATAGAAGCTGAACAACCTAATGCCAACGTAAGGCAGAAAACAGAGGGCCATTTGGCGATTCAATATGTCAAGACGAGTGTGACTTTTGAACCACACAGCTGGGAGAACAAACCACCTTTTTGCATGGAAGCCCTGCTTGTTTCCGTTTGTCACTCAGTGTTAAAATTTATTATACATCCTTTGCAATATTTGTTCTGCTAGTCTCATTATTAAAAATAGGGAAAACACATCTACACCATATTAAATGGCACTTACCTCAGCCTTCAAAAAATACCTCCCCGAAACCTCCAACCATCAAAAAAGGAATCAATCATAGCCTGCAGTTAGGTAAAGTCAATTATATGAATATTTGCCATAGGTAGCAGGTAACACTCTCCAGAGAGAAATGTGATGATCCTGGGAGGTGTTTTAAAGGGTCCCAGCTCCTATTACAAGGATCACGGATTTTTTAAGTGGAACTGAGATGTTTTCTAAAATAAGGTGACTAGGAGCTCTGGTAGCATAGTGCCTAAGGCACTTGACTGCTAACCAGAAGGCTGGCGGTTCAAACCCACCAGCCACTCCTCGGAAGGAAGGTTGGGCAATCCTACTTCCGTAGTGATACTGCCTCGGAAACCCAAGGAGGGGTCGCTATGAGTTGGGGCCGACTCAACGGCAAATAACAACAACAACAACAGATGCTAATGTGGCTTAATGTCAAGTAGCGGGTTTCAGATAAAGCAAGCTTTTTATTATACCCACTTTACAGTTTAGGAAAACACCTTATCCATAGTTGTCCTATGTGTCTGCTAAAGCTTGGGTTTAGATTAGCAAGCAGTCCAGTGCCCACATTTAGAGAAATCACATAGAGGAGAGTTCCCAAACACTTAATGTATTTAGTACTTGTCTCATTTACCAAGCAGAAAGTTTTCATGTGGTGAGCTGTTAGGGGAAAGGTATGGGAGACAGGCAGTGACCAGACAGCATTTTGACAGCAGCAGAGGAATAAATTATCTCGGTGCAGAATTCATCATAGTGTAATTTGCAAATAATTACATTAGCTTGTTGGCTGAAAGAAAAAAAACCATTTAAAATCTGCCATATTTCAGAAATAATTTCCAGAGCAAAAACATCAATATAAATACTTGTCACTTATTATTCAAACACTTTAGTAAATAGCCAATGATTATTTGTTTTAAAAATTTAGTACATTGACAAAACTTTTCATTTTACCTCCAGATGTTCTGGTATCATGTAGATATGGCCTTAAGATGTTTTGAGTTAAGTGTCTGAGATGAATCACTAAAATGCTATGTGTGAAATAGTAGCACACTGCAAGAGCTGGCTTTGTAACAAAACAAATTTTGATCTTGGGCCTCTTCTTAGAAAAACTGATTTTTTTCAAAGCCATAACAAAATGGAATAAAACTCAAATCTAAATGGTGATATGTATACTTCCGGGTGTGTAACTGTCAAATTGCTCTAATTTTTAGATTGAGAGAAGACCAGCAACATCTAGTAAGTACATAAAGTTATTTTTTTTAGCATTTTTTGAGAAGTGGGAGAGGATTGTTAACCTGGAAGGGCAAGGCATTCGAAGCTAGGCTTTCCTGAGGTTATGGGTTGTCCAAATTCTTTTTGAAAATGCTAGCTTATTTTGAGATTCGCCAAGAAGTAACCTAATCACCTCTTCAGTTTTAAAAGCTTATTCTAGAAACCTGGAGGTGTATTCTTACAGGAATATTTTTGGGTTTACTAGTTCTGTCATCAAGTTTCTCTGCCTGTGATTGGTGAGTGTTTGTTGAATGAGTGAATTACAAATGTTCCTAAGCGTCTTTCTTAGTCTGGCTCTCTGAAGCAGAAGAGGCAAATATTCTCCTTTTCTCTGTGCCCACGGACACTTCAGTCACTTTCACGTTCTATTACCTGGTGCTATCCTTAGCTTTCCTGTTCATCTATAAGGATGTGTGGGCTTCAGAGAAGAGCTCCTCACAAATGTGAGATGTGAACTCCCCTCCAACAATTAATTGTAAAACTCTTTGGATAGCCTCATTGGAATTTCATGATTATTTCCAGGATAAGCTGCTTCAGGCCAAATTCAGCCCTCCCAGAACCAACACAAAATCATCACTGACAGTCACCGGAGTTTGCATAAATGTTCAGAATGGAATCTGGCCTTCCATAAAAAATGGAAAGAAATTGTGTAGCACGCGTGTTTTAAGTTTTGAGAACTTTGGCAAAGCATACTGCTTCATCTGAAAGAAAGCTGAACAAAGTGCAAATTAAAATCTCCTATATACCTGGGGCCTTAGACAAACTCAAACTAGTTCTGTTGCCTCCTGTTCTAACCTCCTCCCTCTCTGCAACTCTACAGCTCTGAAGAAACAAATATTGCCTAGATTAAGCTAAAGAATTTTATGAATGAATTCCCAGCTGTGGCAGATACACAATTTTTAAGATCAGTGTTCAAAATTTCTTCCTTTGATTTGTAAGCTAAAGATTTTCCCAATATGGAGACATAAGTAGATTTTCATGTGCATCTAGTTTACTATAATTGGAAAACAGTTGTGAGCACTTTGAGAAAGAAACCTGCTTATGCGTTTTAAACAGCAAGGAAGGGTCTGCACATAATACATTCAAAGATTCCCCGTGCTGCATGTTTGCAAACTCTCTTTGGCAAGGTCCAGCACTTTAATTGATTTACTGGTGAGCTAATTTAGGTGAAGTCTTAAATCCCACGTAGCTGAAATTTACCATTAACTTTTAAAAAAAATTGCAACGTCATTATCAAAATTCCAAAAGGAACACAGAAGAATAAAATTAGAGAATAAAATGGCAGAATATTGCAGTAAATTAACTTTAGGGATACACTAAGAGTAAGAGTACTACGCCCTTGGGGGATTTTAGAGACATTCAGTTATGCATTTGGCCTCATAAAACCCTAGGACTGTGATGATTACATGATAGAAACACCCTCTGTTAAGCATTACCAAGTGCATAGTCTGAATGATTTTCTTAGGAATAGGGGAGTGTGTGTGGGGGGGTAAAAACAAGTGTAAAGTTTCCTGTTTCTGGGTTTTGCACGTAAACTGTTGTTTTCAGTCAGATTTCCCACTAGCAAATGGGCAGTGCTATTTCTTAGAATGGTAATAGTGCCAGGTCAGTGGATGGGTATTATCTGAAAATAAGATCTGACACTGATGTGATTTTCTCTGGTTGTATACTAGCTGGTGTAATGGTTAAGTGTTCAGTGGTGAACTACAAGCTTGTTGGGATGAGCCTACCCAGCTGTTTTGCAGGAGACAGACCTGGCGATCTGCTCCTGTAAAGGTTACGTACAGCCTGGGAAACCCTCCAGGGCAGTTCTACTCTGCCACATAGGGCTGCTATGAGTTGAAATCAAGGCGAAGACATCTAACAAGAAGCAGCTAATTTCCATATTCAGAACTGTTAAGAAATTTATTATAATCATATAATGTTGAAACGGGAGCTCTGGTAGCATAGTGCCTAAGGCACCTTGACTGCTCACCAGAAGGCTGGCGGTTCAAACCCACCAGCCACTCCTCGGAAGGAATTTTGGGCAATCCTACTTCGGTAGTGATACTGCCTTGGAAACCCAAGGAGGAGTCGCTACGAGTCGGGGCCGACTCGACGGCAAACAACAACATAATGCTGAATACTCTTTCTCAGTAAAAAAGAAATGTACATATTCATGGTCCCCACCCCTACCCTCCATAAATATCCTTACTGCCTAGAATGCTTCTAGAAAATGGCAGGTGTTCACTACAAGTTCACCCACTCATTCACTGTAAAGAACGAGTGGTGTCTGCAATACACAAGGCAGCAAGTGAGGAGCAGGGAGCAGAGTCCCTGCCCTTCCAGACTCTACAGTCTATTGAGAAAAATGTTTAATTCAGACACAGCTAGTGACCCGGGGCTCAGAAGCTAGACGGGAGACCAAAGGGGATGAGCAGAGACTTAGCTCTGCTTCTTAATAAAGCTTATCTGGTGCTTTTAAATCATGATCATCTTTGGCTGATAAAAGATTAGAGAATTCCATCCTGATTCTCTGCTCAAGTCCTTCTGGAAGATCCAAGCCCCAGAAAGATGAAGAAAAGTCAAGAGAGTCCCGTGACTGCTTCCTCCCTCACTGGAAGACAGTCGTCTGCACCTGGAGGGACACACAGGGGCTACCTGATGGACAGAGGAAAGTGGTGAAAGACAAAAGCCTATGGCACTGCGTCCAGATCTTATAGGACTGGCCTCTCATGAGGCTTTAGACAAGTTCCTTGATTTATCCCGTCCTTAACTGTGAAACAGGACCAATGCCACCCAGCAGAGCAGCTTCTGGTTGCCCAAAGTGCAGGAAGAGATGAGCAGCGGATTTGAAGGTCAGGTGAGAAGCAGCACAGGTGTGTGACAGGAGAGCCCGCAGAGCTGGACTAAGGCAGGACACTTACTTCGGAGCAGCACTCTGCCAAAGAGGCTGTGGTCCCTGTCCAGGGTGTGGCAGTTCCAGCGGTGCTGTCGGAACTGGTGCTGGCACTCTGCTGTCCACTCTGCCACACCCAGGCCAATGGCACGCATCACGTCCGGGTGTCGGTGGCACAGCTGACGCTGGCGGCTCACCAAGCCTGGCACGTTGTCACACATCACCCTGGAAGAGCCACCGGTGGCTCTCATGTACCTGTGAGGAACCAACACAAGTGTGAGAGCAGCATGAGACAGAAGAGCTCAGAGCATGTCTCAGATGAAGATTCCTGAGCCTTCTGCTGAGTCAGAGAGCAAGGCACATTTCATTTGAGTTCAGTGGATCCTTTCTGGTGAGTTAGAGAGGAAGATGCATTTCATTTGAGTTCAGTGGAGAAGCAGGCAAGCCAGAATGGCGAGTGATCTTGTAGAAACCAATCCAAAGAGGGGCTCCGGATGTCTCTCCCCAGGAAGCCTCCACCAGTGAATGATGTTCTGAACAGAGGGGGTAGAGGCAAGGTCCGTGGTCAGGGAAGGGAATGAGAGGGGGAAGGGCACTGTGTTTTGGGGAGAATGCTTCAAAGACTTTTCCCAGGAAGGCTCTGATCTCAGTGACACAATGTGTCTGGACTTGGCTTTGAAGGAAGCCGACCTTTCCAAGAGCCTCATTCCCTTTTATTTGACCTAATGTTCAAGTGTCTTAAAAATGGTCTGTATCTGTCTAATCAACACCTGCTGGTATCTGATGTTACAGTCTCCTCACAGACATGCTGTTCCTTCCCCCTAAAGAATCCTTTAAATATTTCCATTTTCCCGTTCTTGTTGGCTTTTACAGAAAACCTTTGGAAAAAGAAATTCTTTCTATTGTTATTAAGGACACTAAATGTTTGGAAGAATCAAACAGTGTTATAGCCCCATAAAGTACTTTTGAAAAGAAACTTTAACAAAAAATTACATCATCATCTGTACCCAGATGTTCTCTATTAGTTGTGAAATGTTTAGAAAGGTACCTTTTATATAACCCAAGCTGCCATAGGTGTCTTTTGAAGCGATCAAACAGGCAGAATGTCTTTTTCTTGTATTTTCATTATTTTATATGATCATAAAATCGTTACAGCTGTGACTTCCAAAAAATATATTTACATGACAGCTGAGAGACAATGTGACAAAAAGCCTGAGCAATAAATAATGTTTATACACCCATGAAAACAGAACAGTCATTTTATTGAAAAAAACGGTCAGTCTGATAAATCAATCTTTGATCCCACGTCAGCAATGTCAAGGCTAACCTGCTTCCTACTCAAAGGGGTTTAGGCAGGGATCAAACCGCTCTTCCCATCGCGTGTTGCCTTGCTCCTCTGAAGAGTACCCATGTCTTCCTAAAGGTCCCTGTTCTAGTCTTTCATTTGGTTGAGATTCTTATTCTGTTGTCAGAGCCTTTGAAACTGAGCCCATGATAGCAGGTCTTTCTCAATCAGTATTTCCATACCTGCTCTGGAACTTGTATGGGCAAGAAAGTTACACAGCTCTCCACTCTATCTCAAGATGGGAAGGTGGTGGAAGATGGAGAAGAGTTTCTGGATGCGGAGACAGTCTCCTTTTGGAGCTCTGAACCATGCTAAGACCTGTTCCTGTTCAACGTTCCTTCATTATGGGGGGGGGGGGTGTGTGTGTCCCAGATCAACATACAAAGGACAGCAGCAAAGTTATTCTTCACCCTGACGGTTCTCAACAGGCTAACATCCTACAGTGCCCAGGGTGTGAAGCCCCGCATCAAGGCAGTAGTTTCTACATTTCTTCAAGGCAGCCAAATGTCTTTCCGCCCCACGGGGGTGTAGCATTAGGAATGTGGAAGGAGAAGAAATAATGCAAAATCAGTCGCTTTGGGCTCCACAACTCCCGTCCGCCTGAATTGGCCCATCGGTTCATCTCCAGACGATCTTTGGGGGGGCGGGGGACGAAGACTAGGGAGAGAGACGACTGTAGTTTTCAAGGTGAATTCTCTCTCTCTCTCTCACACACACACACACACACACACACACGCGCGCGCGCGCGTCTGTGCCGGAGACCCGGCTAGCGCGTCTCTCAACGGGATAAGAAATTGGCTGATTCTGCTGTTGCTGAGCTGGATCCAAATAAACCAAGATCCGCGCTCTCCTGTGAGGGGGAATGTTGCCTTTTTGGAGTTGTCACAGCTGGAATGGTCGGCCGGGAAGAGCCAAGGGGCTCAGCAGGGGCTAGAGGCGAGGACGACCGCAGGGGCTCGGGCGGGGCTCGGCCGCAGCCGCGGCGCAGCGCCGCCGCCAGGGTCCGTGTGGTCCGCACTCTCCTCTTCCCAAGGCCCCCGCGCCCGCCGGGGGGACTTACCACCATGAGGAGCTGACCTCGGGGGCGAGCCAGGTCAAGAGCAGCGGGAGCCAGGGCCAGAGTCCGGCGAGAGGGGCGTTCATATTAGCCCCCTTGCGTCGGCATCAGGTCAGACTCCGTGTGCGGGCGCCATGCGTGCCGAGCAGAGCGCTCCGCGCCCGA